TTACTTTTGCTGGCAGTTGTACGGTGTATCAGAATGAGCCATCAAGGGAGATTTCAATGACGAGTGACAAAGTATACAAACTAGCATATGATAAATGAATACCTCGTATAACGCAGCCACACTTACGTAACGTCGGCAGATACTTGGAAAAATATTGACATTTCCATCTTATGGTTATCCATAAATGTTTTATTTGTTTTTTCGCCTACCGAAAACACGATTGGGATCATAAAGAGCCGAGCAAATAGATATGGAATTGCTGAAAAAATGCGAAAATCAGCTCGTGAAAAGATGTCTGCTTCGGTGACTTTGACGACGTCGTCGTGTCTCGAGTTTCCCTGAGAGTTTCCCAGGATATCGAATCAATAAGTCTCTCCTTCGCAGGGGCTCTCGCGGTACGGCTGCCGAACGTACTACGACGACGACGACGACGATGACAAAAGTCGGGGACGACGAGAGAAAGGCAAAGGGGAGAGAAAAGATGAGAAAGTTAGAGAGAGAGAGAGAGAAAAAGAGAGGATATATAGCATTTTCAGTGCGATGCGCGCGCGAACTTTAGGGTGCTGCTGCTGCTGACTGCTCTTTGAATGTCAGTCGTTTCTGTGCTCTTTGTTAGAGGCATTAAATTGGCCACTGCTTTCTAGCTTCGATTCTGCTTTTTTCATTCGTTTTTTCTTCTCTCTCTCTCTCTCTAAAAAAGGCTCGTGAATGAAGAATCGTGTTCTGCGCTCGCTTATATATATCCTAAGGTTTTCTTCTAACTAAAAAAAATCGCGATGAAACGTTCTCGTTATAATCGAATCGCGTCCTCGCATGCATTATATCGAGCTGAATTTCGCCTAAATGAAAGCCCAAAGAGATGTGCGCGCGCGGAGCATTGTGTGCCGGCACACCGACGCTGACCCTTTTTTCGGCCTGTATATAGCACGCGTAATTCTCTGGCACGACTGCGTTGGGGTGCGCCGCCGACGCTGCCACTCCCGCGCCGAGAACACAGCTATATAGAGCTAAACCCATTGGGAGCCCCATGCGAACCCACGCAACGATCACACACACACACACGTATAGGCGCACACATACACGTGCGAGGCAGCGCGGGGAAAAAGCTCAGAACTGACTCAGGAGCGTATAGAACACGATAATGTGTGGTATTCTCTCTCGTTTCTCGACTACGAGGGGAAGTGCTTCACGAGATATACGCACACACTCGTTTACTACGAGCCGAACCCCAGAGTGCGTGGCGGCTGCATATTGTAGTGTATAATACTGGCCGAGCCTTGTACCATCGATCGAGCTCTTCACGAATCTTCAAAAAATTGACTATTTGCCGGCTGCTTTTCGGACTTTTTTTTAAAGACCGACGCACGAATGACAGAAGCCGTACAAACGAATTCAATGATTTTATCAAATCGTCACGCTGAAATTTAAATGGCTGCGCGAGCTTTCATGATCGCCCAAAGTGAATTTAATGCTTGCCTATCGTCGAGAACGATATCGACATGTGCTCTCTGAAGCGTATCATTAGTCATCGACGAAGTCTTTGCGAGCATTAAATGACACACGATGTCTACTCTGAACTCGACGCTCCAACGACTCTTCAATCGATTTCGTATATACTGCACTATGCGTGCACAGGCAAATGTAAACAAACTAGCCGAGTAGAAGACGATGAATGCCTCGATATCGCTCGGGTAAAGGGGTGTAGCTATGAATACGTGTTGTACATATGCGTGACGCCCGGGCCGAGACCACACGCGACGTATACGTATAAAATATACGTGCGTAAGCGCAGTTGCCGCTGACGTATCGATTTGAGCATTAGTTGAATCGACTCGACTCCGGAATAGTATTCCAAGAGCCAAAAGTATATGAATGATTCTATAAATTATCGGGACAATTCGAGGCTGAAATGATGATTGAACTTTTGTGATTACAGACATACGTATAATCCAAGAACTATATCGACATTTTGGAAAAAATGTTCCCTGTCGTCGTTTAGTTCTTAAACAAGAAAAATGTTTTTCTAAATATTACTATACTTATTCCGCTTTCGATATTCATTCAATCAAAACTGATCTAATTTTTTGGGTTTTGGATTTGTATATCAATTTCAGTCTCGAATTTTGTCGATAAATTGTAGAATTTCTCATATGTTAAACGTATATATCCGGACTGGAGCAGCACTGCACACGTTACTCATTGCGAGGATAGTTTTCGTGCTTCGGCATATATTTTGGACGAGAGAGAGAATCGATTCTATTGAGAACATCGGATTACTTACGAATTTGCTTTGAAGCACGTTTTCAAAACGACCTGTGTACGACGAAGTATTAATGGATTTAATTGAAAGTATTTACGAGTCAAATAATTTGAGGGCTGGGAAATAACTGTTGGGAAAAGTAATCGACTTGAAAATTTTTGAGAAATTAATTATATTTGCGATGTGCACGCAATGAATGGATAGATGCATCATGTACGAGACTTTTGTACATGAATAATATAAGCACGATGAGGGTCACGAAGACGGCGTCGGAATGGAAAAGGATCGAAAGGCCGCGCGCGAAATGTTTCTTCGTCGACAGTTTATAGCTCCAGCTGTTTTTATCGATGAAAATTCCTCCGAGACTGTTGCGTAGGCTACTTTCGGATTTCGAGCTTGTGTACCATGTAAGACGTAGCGAGTTGCGATCGCTCGGGGGCAAAGAAGAAACGTCATAGCGCATTAGAGAGAGAGAGAGAGATCCGTAAAAGTAGCAGCAGCGGCACGAGTTAGACGATCGAGTGGCCGACTAGACAGGTGTACACTCGGCTGGCTGCAGTCACATACGACTCTCGCGACGTCGGAGTGAAAATCGTCGTCTCTCGCGCATCATAGATTCGACCGAGCGGAAAATCCTGTCTCGCTTCGGTCGCGCGGCGTGAAAAGTCCACACGTATACGCGATCTACGCGCGCATCGACCTGTACTGCTGCTGCTGCTGCTGCTGCAGCGAGTGCAAACGGTTAGCGAGCGTCTTTATACCGTTAAAAGATAATGCTCTCGGACGTGCGTTTACAGCGAGTAGACGCTTACGCGCTGTACGCTTTTTTATTCACCTGACTACCTTTATACGCAGGAGCTTTTATTCAAGCACTTTCATGACTGCTCGTCCAGATCGCGATAAACGTCATCGCGTTTTGTACTCGTACTTTGAGTACTCGACAGTTGGATATCAACTCTTCTATATGTAGAGATATTTAGGAAAATATTTTAATGCTCGAGTCGTTGGGCAGAGATTTCGAGCGAGCTTACAAGGACACGCAAAAGCGCGCCAGAATAGAGAAGAGATCGACACACGTGTTTTGAGTTTAGCGTGACAACATATACTACACATAACACGCGGTTTAGCTGACGTCGAGGGAGGAGCAGACATGTGCACCGTTACGCGCACGCTATCCCGAATCGATGCAAATGTCTCGTTACAATTAGGCCTACGAATCAGTCGGGCGCGACGCTACCGAGCTTTCAGGATCTCGGCTTCAAGTTTTCGTCTCGCGTAATCCTATTTTATAACAAATAGGAGCGCGACGATCGTAAGCTCGCGCGCCGACGCGACACGATGCAGTAATTCGCGCGCAAGTAGCAGCCCGAGTATAAGTCGTCGCACATATTTAGAGTCTCTCGCAATGGTGCGGTGGCGCACACACACACACGCGCGCGGCAGGATGTCCGCATATTGTCGCGCGTTTCCGGTCTCCAGACACGTCGTGCGCGCACACATACGCAGGCAGTTCGTCGTCTCATTCCGACCGCGTATACGAATGCAATACGCACAAACGTATATATACACGCGGGACACGGAACGATCGTAAACTCGCTTGCGCAGCTGCCTGTATTATATATACGTGCTCTTGTCTCGTTCTGCGCCTCGTATAGCTGCGGATTTCTTACGCGCAGCAGCAACAGCAGCCTCGATACGCGACTCGTGCGGTGGTCTTTTTTCTTATATTCTCTCTTTCGGAGCGACTCTGGTATAGGCCTCAGCTGCTGCAGCTACTGTGTTATGGCTCTCTGCGACCGCCGCTACTTTTACACACGCGTACATCTATATAATACGCACGACTTGGCTCGCGTACATCGTGCGCAGCTTTCTCTCGAGATATCTGCAGTCCGAGCGCTCGCGAGACTGCTCGCTTTGTTTCGCGTTGACGCGCCTTAATACGTGCGAATCGAGATAGTAATGCCTGAACGTACACACACACACCTATGTGTGCACTCGCGATCCGTCCGCATAAATCTCGACTCGACGCGCAAATTGCTCGCAAGGTCCAATGTCGAGGCTCTGCGCTTCGTTAAACATTCAATATGTGACACTCATCGGCGCTTGTTTCTTTTTTCCATGCGTCGTATGGCTCCTTTGCAGCTTCTTGTCGCGTCGAGACTGACGTATTATTATGCGCTCTCTCTCGCGAGTGTCGCGCGTGCATCGTGAAATCGAGTGCACTGCTGCGCACTTTTACGCGACAGAATCGCGATCGTGCATCGTGCGTACATGGATCTTGATACTTAGGGGATAATGGCCATTGACACTCGATACTCGAGCGCGTTACGATCGATGTATTTTGACGGCTTTTTAACTCAAATTTTACTGCTCAATTAATAATTATTTATCGGTGAAAATGCAAGAGTTCTAACGAAATTATGCCTAATAATTGCTCCTCCGTGTCTATCGTTGCAGCGACTTTCACGAGGATAGCGATGTAACTGAACGAGAGGGATCGTTTGACGTAACTCCAATTTATTACAATTCCCGTCCCCGGAAACGCCAATAGGTTCATTATTTTGCATGTGCGGGCGAGATATATTACGCTTCGTACTCGCTATTGTAGTGCAGTCCCTCTTCCAGAGTCAGAGCTCCCAAGCCGATCTAGCCACCTAATATAATGATACAAGTTTCATTTCTCTGCTAATCGATGCTTGCGGCTTTTGTCTACATAATGCCCGTTTTCTTTCTTTTGCAGCCATCTACAACTGGCGGGGCGACACGCGCTACGGACTGCCTCTCGAAATCGGAGAGACCGTCCAGATCCTCGAAGAATGCGCAGGTATGCCACACAACGCACCGAAATCATCGTCTATTGAACTTTTACCGAAAATAGCTCTTTCATTTTTTCTCCCCGTCTCTCGCTTCGTTCGCAGCTTTGATCGGTTGACTATTTATTATAAATGCGGTCACAGACGAACGTAGCGAGAGTCGTGAAACTTTACCAGCTGCGTGTAAATTTTCAATTGAAAAAGTAATAAATGAGAGCAACGATTCGAGCGAAAATATATATTTTATCATTTACAGGCTGGTACAGAGGCTTCTCGATAAAAAATCGCGCCATCAAGGGAATATTTCCGAGCACCTACGTTCACCTCAAATCCTGCAGAATCGAGAACGAGGGACTCTTCGAATCAGTCATTCCGCTCGAGGATCCGGTCGTTCGAGAGGTCAGCTTGGTTCTACGGGAATGGGGCATTATATGGAAGAGGCTATACGTGGTTTGTATACATTCATGACAGTACACTGTATAATGTACCCGTACTCTATGCTCGTCGCTCGCATCTTCGATACTCCTTTGACACTGACGATCGTTGAAAATGTCTTTGCACTTTTTAATCAATGCTCCTTTATGTATGCGAATTGAATTCAATTAATCAATCAGACGAGAACGAGATCCGTACAATAGTACGCACGATTATGGCCCACACGACTACGATACTACTTGCTTTTGTGTTATTTTCTACAGGAAAGAAACGATTACAAATTCAATGCGGTAATGAAAGTAATGTGCGAGCTGCTGAATTGGAGGAGGCAGCTGCTGTCCGGCACCCTCACCACCGAAGAAACGCGCACACTCAAATTACACATTATTGGCAAAATAGATTGGGGAAATCGGTAAGTTACTTTTCTCTAAACCGTCTAGTATTACATATATTTTTGCATCGAATTCGCTCCTGTTAATTAGCGGTACTAGTGATAGGCGAGTTATTAAAACCAAAGTACAGTCAATTTACGGGCTAATATATACATTAAAAAAGCATAACCATGTATTTTTTAAATTTACTTTATTTTGTTTTCACTGTTAAATTTACATTCACTTTCATACGCTTGACAATTTGCACACGATTAGCAGTCTTTTATTACTTGGTATCGTGATGCAAACATACATTACAAAATGAATGGCCATTCATTTAGTTTCTTTCCTTCTTTTTTATAAATCGTATAATTTTTTTTATAATATTATCATAAACCCTACTGGAGGCACATCGTGAAAAAATACAAATATTTATATCTAAGTTTTTTGTCATTTTGATAAATCCTATACCAAATCTCTTTATCGCATTTCTCTTTTTCACTTTCCTCACAAGGTTCACAATTACTTCCTCACTCCATATTAATAGACTATGGTCTATTAATATTTCTTATTAAACTATATACCTATAATTATATGGAGTAATTGAACTCAGTGAATTATTATGAGTAGCAGCATTAATTTCTGTTAAGCTCTAAATAAGCATAGTTGAATCTTATGGTTCTTTCAATAATGCTTAATTCTTTCATTTTTCATCTTACATGCGGTATTTTTTAAGTCAACTAACATGATTGACTCAGAAATACAACAATTGCTCAAATTTGTTTTAATGCGACGCAATGGTCAAACGTGACCAAGTTTATAAATACTTTTTGATTTAAAAAGGCACTTAATATGAATTTTTAATTTATACAAAAATGATGAACTATAATTTAAATACACGTTTTATATGTGCTTAAATATTGTAAGCACATGGAATTGTTAAGAAAAAAAAACAACTATCTTATTTTATTGGAATTTGACATCAATCATAAGATGAGTTTCTAGAATAATAAATTATGTAAAACGAACAATTAAGATACTACGATCAACTCGAAAGTAATGAAGTATTTTTTTATGATTACGATGATAGGGCTGAAAAATTGTCATGAACAACTCTTTAATCGTATTCGTTAAAGTAGAAAATTATAAAGATGATTTACTTTAAAATGAACAATTTTGTTCTAAGAGACAAATAAGTGTGAAAGACATGCCATAAAATCATTACATCATTATTAATAAGATTGGTCAAATTTCATATTCAGTCTTACAGTATACGTATTTTTACTTACGTATTTGCAGTAAGAAGAGTTTGGCTCATTTTCAATCTTATTGTAATGAGTAAAATGTTTAAAATTTATTTAAATTTTTCAGTAACATTTGTTACTTCTCTTAAACGTACTATTGCAATTATTCGGTTTACCACTATAAACAACAAATGACTTTCAATTGCCTTGCTCGTATTAATGAAGTCAGTACTAGCGATTAATAGAATAATTCATAAAGTCAAATATATCTTATTTTTTTAAAATAAAACATGAATTTTCAGTGGCTAGTAAGATTGCTTGGTAATATACGAAGCCTTGTACGTTTGTACAAAAATTGTCGACTTCAGCAGATTATAATTATTTTGATCAGGCAGTAAGTCAATGAAGAACGCTTAATAATTTACATGCAGCTGTGAAATATCGCGCGTACTTTTTCATTATCTGTAGTACCTCATAATTTTGGTAAAAATATATCTATATTTTACAAATTTTTTTTCATGAATTAACCACGACCTCTACGTGATACGAAATATTGAAAACCCTACGTACTAATAAATGCTACTTATAACAATAGATACAATTATCGATAACGTAAAAAACATGTTTTAATAATTTTATTTTTGAAGTTTCGTGATGTCATAAGTTCTTTTGTGAAGCAAAAGCTGATCATATACACGTTAACATTTCAACACTCGAATTAGTGCTGTTAAACGTGATCCATTTGAAATACTGCCTGCTTAGAGCGAAAGCAGAATCAAAATAAAATAATAAATGAAAAAAAAAAAAACAATCAATGCAGAAATGAAATAGTTATAGTAATGATAATCGTAATAATTTAAATAATATTAACATAATATATTATGCGAAGATCTCGCGGCATTATGACAACGTCGACGGGGATTTACTCCTTCAAACGAAAATATCAAAGTTTACAGGGGCGGATTAGGAAAAAATTCATCGTTCGGTGGCTAATCAACCAAACGATGAATTTTTCATACACACAACCTTATACATACGCTCTCACAGCCCATCGCTTCTCCCGCACGAGCGCACATTTTCATTTGTCTCGTGGAAATAGCCGCTTTGATCGTTCGTTGACGAGGTTTTGTTATCTTCTTAATGCTACAGTATCAAAATTGGCCCCTCATATTGTCGTTTTCCATGCTATATCACAATTTTCATATTTGTCTCGAAAGATTCTGGTGATAGTGAAAAACCAGCGTCAAAGGAAGAGTAGAACTTAATTCTACATGTCAGCGTCTTTGCTGAATTCGTCTTTGCTGAATGCTTTGTCAATTGCTGGGTATATGGGATTCATTTCGAGTGTGCTAGGCGCTGATGGCAAGTTCGACGATGGCGAAGCTCCACTCGAGCCCATATGTAATCTGCGGCAAAGCACCTCGAGGACTTCGTTGAACATCATCATGTTCATGTTTTGACCAAGCAAGTGAAGCATGAGGAAATCACCGATCTAAAAAGTACGGAAAAAATGTCAATGAAAAAAATGAAGCAGTGTGTGAATAATGGCAAGTGCCAAACTGAATAGCCAAAACAAATAATTACCTGAGTTTTGCGGACAAGGGCGGTGACGGCATTTTGGTCAAAGAACTTGAATCTCCTCCTCAAGATGTACTCGCGAGTGCTGGGCAACAGAACAATGGCAGCGCTGTAAACAATGGCCGCTCCAGACATGCAAGCCAGGATGATGAACCAGAACCAGAGAAAGACGTAGATCTTCTCGTTGAGGATGTTGAGAGCGAGAACGCAGAGGGCGTCGTGCGTCTGAATCGTACCGGAAGCACCATACTTGTGGAAGGTACATTTGGTGACTCGTGGAAAGACCTCGATCATAGGATCTCTGCGGAATTCTTGATCCATCTGACTGAATTTGACCACATCCCAGCCGTACTGCAAGAAGGCTCCTCCGAGGAATTTGTCAACCATAAACATGTTGACAATCTAAAGGAGATACAAAATTGTCTGTTGTTAGATGAAAGTCAAACGAAATGACATAATGCAGAGATAGAAGCACAGAAAGAATTAGCTTTCGTTTTTACATAGTTCCCGCGGATGTCACCGGAAATCCGGCGGATGCGCAACACCCGCGTCTAGTATATACACCCGGAAAAACAGCGAGACCATAATATTATCGTCCCAAGTGCAAGGCTCGTACGAGCCGAGGGACAGCCGCTACGAGGATACGAGAGCTTTACTCACCACATTGACGAAGTTGAGAACCTCGGTGAGGAAGTAGACGAAGGCGTACATGTTGTGCATGTGCATGGTGTCGGTGATGTACTGGACGAGCCGCTGCAAGCGCGCCTGGCGCTCGGCCTTGGTGTCCATGATGGCGCCGCGCATACCGTCGGAGATGCTGCGCATCGTGCCGTTCTCCCACTGCTTCCAGATCCAGTGGGGCGCGTAGAACATGACGCCCTGGAAGAAGAGCATGAACGGCACCCACTGGTAGTACGAGTGGTACTTCTTCTCGCCGTTGTTCTCGTTGCCGATGGCGGGATGGGGCACCTGGACGCCCACCTGTTTGAATTGGTCGGTCGGCATCGTGAACGTGTACGTGATCCAGCAGTAGGTGTTGATCACGTGGCCGGGAACGCCGTTGTCCGTTATGCAGTTGATCGGGTCGCCTGTTATAATAATAAAAAACGATACCATGACTATATGTTGGATAGCGCAGGCAGGAATTCGAGTAATGCGCGATGCTCGCGAGCGAGCTTCCAAGAATCAGCGCGACTTTATTATTGCTGCCTATCGAAGGCTCGCGCGACTCGACGATCGATCAAACATCGATCAAAAGTTCCGAGCGAGCTATACAGTATCAAGCTTGCGGAATATTTATCGGCTCGATAATCTTTCGCTTAGTCGGCAAAAACTGCAGCGCGCGATTCGCGAGTTATTACACTCCGCGCGCGCGCGCGCACGGGTAATTGAAGGACGCGATCGCGTGGCTCTCGCGCCTCGCCGCTGCAAACTCGTTGAAATTCAAGTAGTAATACGACGATCGCGTCTATATACGAAAGTGCTTGCAACTGCACAAGTGGTTGATTTCGAGCGACGAATTCATTTCGATGAAAAATAAGCACGCGGGAGAGAGTTCAACGATATCAGCAGAGTGACGCACGAGCATATAGTTTTTGATGAGAAGAAAGAAGAAAAAAAACACTTACCTATCAAATTGTTGGCCGTAACAATGATGCAGCAGGCGAAGAGTATGGCTGAGGTGATTCTGTAATGTGCCCGGAAGATCATGTTATCGATGACGGCTTTGTCGATCAGGTACCGAACCTTCACGAAGCCGGTCACAGCCGACACCAAACCAAAGATCGCCATTGTTGATTTCTTTTAAATCTGGAAAAACCAAAAAAATGAATTTAGTCATCGTATCGTTCACACTTGTAATCGTGTGCATATATGCAGTACACGTGATAAATGCGCGACAATGTCTGTGTGTGCACGCGCGCGTGTGTGTATCATACAGGATTCAAGGCATTCACTTTTCATAGAGATCGCGATTAGAAAAATCTGCATATTTTGTGCGTTACACGATCCGTCGAGCGTGCGCGCAAAATTCCCATAGGCTATATTATGCACGATTGCGAAATCTACAGGCGACTGTCAAGTTCTTCGTGTGCCTCTCTCTCTCTCTTTTTCTGTATTCATTATGTACAATAATAATATCGATGGAGCGCGCGTAATTATCCATTTGCGATTATTTAAAAACGCTCGTAATAATAGCTCGCGGTGTGTACGCAATCGCTAGTCGATCGAGGATCGAGTATGTATGTACGCGCGTGAAACTAGTTATTCCACGATTAAACTGGGACAAATAGTCGCACAGTCAATAAACAAACTTTGAACGCGCCGCATCGTTAAGTAGGCGTGTTAAGTAGTGGCGATTTTAAAATCCGATAAATGCTGACGAGGCATGAGCGCGGAGAAGGTCTCTGGACTGCGCGTTGGATCATCGTCGCGAATACAAAGAGCTTCATATCGCGGGGAAGGTGTTCATCGAGAAAAATTACATGTGCACTTGGAAAATCGGAGTACAAAGCACAAACGCAGAGGCAACGATCGCTCGGTCTAGTGCGCAGCTGTCTGACATGGACTGGAACGACGTCAGCTCATGTTATCGAGTCAGCTGCCGTCAGTGTCAGGAACATTCGAGGCACGGCATATAACACTTTAGGCCGAAAACAAAGTCTCGAACGGGAGCACTAAAAAGCACGAGTTTACACACACACACACACTCGCTGAGCATAAGCACAAAAGCGCACAGAGCAAAGGAGAGTATATCCCAGATACATAAGATAAACAGACGTACGCAGATCGAGTCGTAGGGCAGCTAGTTTTCTGTATATAGGAAGCGGGCGTGAACACGACGCGTTGTCGAGTGTCGGGCAGAAACTGTCGCTACGCCGCACGAACCGGCCTATGAGGCCGCCTGCGTGCTGTGGTTCGTTGCTGCGTGTGTATGTATACATGTACATCGCAGGTCCATCCGCGCGCGCGAGAGACCCAAGCGTTAAGCGACGTACAGCGCTTCGTTTCCGGCCTTCAATGCGTCATCGTATACGCGGCACATGTGCTGCTGCTGCTGCGACTTTCTTTTTCTCTCTCTCTTTTCTCTCATTGTTTGCTATTCAAAACGTACGAATGACAAAACGAGAGCGTCTATATACAACGTTTATACTAGAGAAGTGTATATACATAAATATAGTAGCAGCGATCGTACACATCGAGCTGCGCGAGTACTAGTTCAACGTATTGTAATAGTAACAGCGGCGGCACACGTGTGTGGGTGCGGAGACGGTCGCGTAAAATCGGAGAAGCGTTGAGTGACTGAGACACTACGTCAACAAAGATCGGCGAGCCGTATCGGTGTGGCTCGCGCCGACAAAAGAGCTGATCTCTCGGCTCGGGCTTCGTTTTCGCACGCGTTCGCCGGAGCACGCGAGGAATACTGTAAGTCACGCTCCAAAAACATCGGTAATTTTTTATCGATATACAGCGGTGCGAGGGAGTCTGCATAGTATAGCAAAAAATTGTCTCTCTCTCTCTCTTTTTACTCCAAAACATCCGAGTGCAGTTTTCGGCGGTTCTTATGAGAGCGTCGAGACGATCGCATCGGCCATATAACTCGACGTTCCAACAAGAGCCCCAAACGAAATGGCACTTAAGCGTTTCGTCGCCGCGTTAAACGATAAGACCCTGAAGTGTATAGGAGTTAAAGTACGGAGAGCCTGCAGTGCCGAGAGTATAGTAGTAGAGCTCGCGCCTCGTCGGATCGTCCGACAACTCGGAGCAATGCGCGCGCTCGTCTGCCCCGTCTCTGCATGTTTGCAACTGTATATAGCTTCTGCTGCTGTGCACGAGGTATATACTACAACTACTACATGGCGAGTAGAGAGAGAGTAGCCCGAGAGAGCGTCGTACGAGCGACGACTTGATTAATTGAAGTGGCTGCGCGCAGAGAAGAAGCGGGGTCAAACTCCACAACGCGAGATGCTACTGCTGCTACTGCTGCTTCGTATAGCCATTGTCCCCGTTACATTGCGTAGATTTCTCTTTCTGCAAACTGCGCACACAGTACGCCAAGTTATTTTTTCATCGGAAAGGGATTTTTCTTTTATTTTACCCGCGCTCGCGCGACTCGCTGACGTTTCTGTCAGTTCGCCGAATATGCGTTTCGGCGTATATAAAGAGCATAAAAAAAGGACGCCCCTATACTCGCGTCGAGAGATCGCGATGCCCGCTATAACTAATACAACTAATATATTCATGGTTTGCAGCGTTACAGCGATCTCGACTACATATTGGCGCCGCGCGTCGACGAGACACGCATACACACATGAAACTCCGTTCTCCTCCGTTTCCACGATCATCATCGCGGCTCCAACTGGTTTTATATACAAATCGAATGCCACAAGTTTAATATTGCCGTTATACATCCCGAGCGAGGTTTCTCGCGCGCGTCGATGTATTATATACGAGACATGGACGTACGAGGACGCGCCTCTCGTGCTTTGCTACGATATTATATTGACGATGATTTCTACGAGCTGTCTCTCTCTCTCGTATTTGCGTGCCACCAACACATATGTATACGCGCACACATGGACGCACGCTCGGAGCCTCAGTGTCGCGTTACTTTTTCAGGCCGATCAATCCTGCGGCTACTAACAATACTCATGGCGAGCTGACTCTCGAGCATTTCATCAATTACTGCACGCACTTGTTGTTTTCGCTCCCATTATTCGTGCTTAAAATTCAATTCGTTATGGTTCGTTCGAGAGTATTTGTGACACAACAAGATATTATATGAGAAAAACGAGCCTCGACTCGCTCCGTTTTTTTATCATATTAGTCGTACGTGTATACATTTTTGTACTGGCTCAATTCTCTTTCTCACTCTTGCTTTCATGAATAATTCAACGTCTCAGCTTTGCGAGGTGATTTTTTCCTCGCGCAGGTGAGATTCGTGGCGTATACGTGCGAGACCGTACGTATACATACAATATTAAAAAGTGTGCGCTGCAATGCTTCTCCTCGTGTTGCTTCAACGTATGCTGCTTGCATATATGCAGCGGCTGCATCTTATAAACGGATAGTTTACAGTTATCACGTGGCACACCTTCCTTTGCGCATAGCATCAAATTTTCACGTATTTTAGGTACACGCGAGTGTGTGTGTGCGCGATGCCATGCTCGGCTGCTCGTCACAAGGAAACATGAAGGCTCGTAGCACGCTTTGATGGATACTCCTCAAAGTCTTTTCATACCCTCCATGTTGCCAGCGGCAAAGTATCGCGCTCGAATTTTGGGCTAATCCCGATCTCGAGCTGTCGCGATGAATCACGCATCTGTCATAGCGAGTCATGCGCGCGTTACAAAGATTTACCTGTAAACGATGCAACAGAAAAGTGACTAAGTTCGGGTACAAAGCAGCAATGCAGCCCGCAAGGAAGCATCCTCCGACTGATGCAATTATTCCAAGAATCCGAGCGTTTGATCGATTGCGCAAATAAGCGAGCGCGTCTCGATGCGATGATGATGCTGCGGAACGGTATGCGCGTAACAGTCGCGCGCGTTTAGGAGGAACAATTGCTCGCGTCTAAAGCTATCGCCCGTTCAATTTCAAAGCCAAGCGAGCTAATGAAGATACGCTTGGGCTGCAGCGAGCTCGGAAGCCCACAAATCTCTCGTGAAAACGAGGGGAAGAGCTCTGTGCAACGTAGTCGACGGCCGAGGGAGCCCAAGCGTGTGCCTATACCTACTACCTTCTCGCTTGACAGCCACGGCGGCGGCGTGCACTTTTCAAGGTCGAAGAGCCGGAGCAGCATTGCCGCAGTCGTGCCTGCCTGCGTGTGTACGTGCAGTATACCTTGCAAACCGCACGCACGTGCACACGCGTTGCGCGAGGGCAAAATATTTTTCGAGGACCACACCTAATTATACACGGACGCTCAGGCATGCGGGGGAATAGCCTTATTTTCGAGTCAGACGAAACAAATAAATAACAGCTCGTATACATACAGGCTCAAAACTTTGAATTTTGTCTATGAGTGTAGAATTTATTATACTCTCTTATTCAAATTTTTGATAAATTTGAATAAGCTCGATCAGGTTCATTTTCTCACACAAAAATGAAGAGTAACCGCTATTCATTTCATCATACGAAATATATTCAAATGAAGAATTGAGTGAAGAAACATTTGCCTACAGTGGATAGAAAGTTGGCAGTTTCCAAATTTCAGTACAATAGAATTCACGAAATAAAGTTCTCGAGATCTCACGTGTAGAAACCATTACGTATACGTTTTAATCTAATTGGCGCTACCAAGAAGATTTTGTATTTACTTTACAGTTTTTTATACACATAGCAAAATAAATAGACCACTGTTATTGCTTTCTCGGGAAAGATAGTTCAGAGGTGTTATAAATAAGAAGCTAGATAAGTTATTCAAATATTCTCACATATTCATGCTTACAAAATCAACTTTCAACTATCGCAAACGTCAATACTCGCGTACAGATAAAACTGTAGTCGAATTTATTCAAAAAAAGCGTACAGAAACTCCGTTTTTTGTAATATCATTCGAGATGCGAGGGAAGTTTGTGCGCTATAAATACATATTCTCCTGCTGCTGCTGCTACTGCTGCTGCTGCTGCTGCTGTCGGAGAACAGGCAAACACGATACGTTATTATCGCAGCTGCACACGCGCAGGGATATGAAAATCCGTCCGCGATGGAAATTCATTTCCACGCAGACTGAAAGCTGATCTTCGTGACATTGAGAACGATTATTTTCAACTTTGCAATTACGCGCGCAAGAACGAGTGTATGTATAGATGCGTGCGTACGTATGATTTTCTACCGACGACAACTCGAGAGAGAGAGCCTCGGCTCGGACTGCCAACTGCGCGAAGCACGATGACCTACTAAAAAGTGGTTTATGGAAACTGAAGCCATCCCGAGGCAACGGCAGCAGCCATCGATAAAACATTGAATTTCAAAAACGAGCCGCCGCGTATAATAGAGAAACGTTTCGAGCGTTGAATCACTGAAAATAAACGAGAAAATGCCATCGGAACGATGCAATGCACGGCTTTAGATTTATATACATCGACTGCATCTCAATGCAGACTTTACAATGAAAAATTACGTAATTGAAGAGAGAGAGAGAGAGAGAGAGAGAGAGAGAGAGAGAGAGAAATAGAGAGAAAAAACTCTTGCTGCCAGTGCTGCAGAAGAAGCAGTTGCAAGTAGTAACTATGTCAACGCGCCGAACGCAGCAGCAAGTACGCGCGATGTGCAAGTTGATATATTGTATACGCGTTTGTGCGTTATAAAAGCAACGATCAACTCTCTATTACCGAGCCGATCCTCGCGTACATGTCTCGCGATCGCAGCAGAGCAGCATCACATATAGCCATCGTTTTATTTATACGGTGCCGTTTCGAAGAAAACTCGACGTAGCGGAAAGATAATGGGCTTTGGAAGTGTCTCGAGATGCTACGGGAGGCGAGATAAGAAGGTGTTTCGCTCGCCGTTGTTGTTTTATCGGGGAGCCCTTTTTCTTTTTTTCACTTTTTCCTCGCTTTTTCGTCAGAAGCACGACACTATCGTTAGATTTTCCCCATTATAAGCGGATATCGGCGCCACGCTTCGCCACTCTCCGAAAATATATATCAGAGAGTCACTTAGAACGAGGCAGATGCCTCTAATCGATGTACTTATCGCTTTTTATGGAGAAGACTCCGAAAAAGCGTTCAGCAATCATCCGGGCCTAATGCAAGGTATAATGTAGTATCGCATTATTATTGTGTACATTAATCACACTCGACTATATAGCCATTAAAAAGTTCGTCTTCCTTTGTCCGGTGGTTTATTTTTATTCGGCATTACCAGCAGATATTTCGGCTGTACATATAGGCGAAGGGTCCCAACGCCGATCCGCGAATAGAACACACACGGCGATGATCGTATAATAAATAGATACATGTGGAATAAACACGTGTCCGATCGTGCGTGTCACTCCGCGGTGTCATTCACCGAATAGCAAACAAGGCGGGCTTCGTTATCGAACTTTCGTCCGTTGTTGCTTTCGTCTTTATTATTATACAAAAACGCGGTACATTATAGTCTAGTCAGCTGGCGTTGAATAGATTCGTGTGGATTAGGAAGGAGCTCCAAATTGTACGTGGGTATTCCGTGCACTATATTACATATTAATACGGCTTTGTCCCGCAGCAGCTGAGCGGGATGACGAGAGAGATGATTTTGCCCTTCGAGCTGCGAGCGGAAACTATCGCGTTTCGTGCGTTCGCCAGTGATTATTCAATCATAATGCAAACGACGACGAGGATATATAATAAAGCCCGACGCGTTACGTACGGTCCGCGTAAGCACGTATATCGGGATTAGAAGCGTCTGCGGCGCGTGGAGCAGCATCGCATCGATCGCCGAGAGTATTTAGTAATCCACTGGGAGCGAGTATCGCTGCGTAAGGCCGTCTCTCGCTTGCTGCTTTTTTCACGTATAATAATCAAGATGAATGTGTACGGGCAAACTCGCTCTTATCGAACGCCTCCGAATCTCATCTGGGAATCGAGACGACGCAGACTCCTTGTAATATGCTGTGCACTGGCCGCGAGCTCCTCCAGCTATACATATCACAAGTGCGCGCGCGGCGAAGTATGCCGTGCGCAACGCGATGGGCGCGACTGAATAATTGTCTCGATAATTGAAGGCTATCGAATCGGCGGCGAGCAACTGATTCTCGGCTGCTGCTTTTATTATTAAGTAGTGCACGAGAGAAGAAAGAGAGAGAGAGAGTCAGTCGGCCAATTGAAATTCGTCGATTCCTCGAACTATTTTATAGACTTGAATGACGATCATTGAGAAGGACAAATTCGAGAAAGTATAACTGCTCCTGCGCTCGGCGTGCATCCGACCAATGATCGGCATAAAGACGGCGGCGCGGGCGTAGGCGTACGCTCGAGTCCGTTGCTCCGCGGCGCGCACGTAGGCACTCTCCCAGGCAATTTTCCTATCGGGACGCTCTTTTTTCTCTCTCTCTCGCTCGCTCGCTCACTCACTCCTCCCTCTGCACTGTTTACCATCGCTGCGGCTGGATTTACCTTGCAGTGGGCGAGTGTGTACGTGTGTATGTGCGAGCGAGAACGAGAGAGAGAGAGAGAATGAGAAAGAGAAAGAGCACGCGGGTTCATGCTCTGCTGCGAGCTTTGCTTCATTCTCTCTCCTCTGCAGTTCTGTGTGTGCGCGCTGTCGCGCCCTGCGGGCTACGATCGGACCGTGAGAAAACGAGAACGCGGCGCGCGAGCCAGGGCCTCCGCTTGGAAATTATCATCGGCCGCGTTGGACCCGCACCACCGCTTCGCGATGATGCCACGCGCATCGCTGAATTTAAACGCATGCATGCGCTCGTGATGCCATGTATATAATATATATAAGCCAACGTACGCACGAGTCGACTTGACCGCGAGGTCGACGCACTGTATCCTGCGGAGCGCGCGAGTCCTTCCTTCTCGTTAAGAGACCGGATGCGCGAGACGATGACTCCGCGATCGATGTAAGAAACTCGCGCCACGGCATTGTGGAGGATATGTGCTATAATCTGAGTCGATTCGAGTCTGTGTCGCAGCTCGACGCGTCGACACCTACGTTTCATTGTCTTTACGGAAGAGCGCCTGTGAAAATCGAGCTTCTCAACCGGAACGAGCCGATATGTCGTACACGATACACCGGCTACTGTGGCGCAAAATTTGACTTGTCGGCTATCGATCCGAGTCTGTACGGTAGCAACGAGACGATAACACGTGCTCGTGACGATTCGCGCAACAAGTCCTGTCCCGAAAAATCGATATTTCTACGCGCGCCGCTTATATTGCATCATTCTCTCGTGCTTGCAGCCGTTAGATTTCAAAACGTATAGAAGGTTTTAATGCCTTAGAGAAGTGTGTGTTGTGTGAGAGCGGAGAGGCCAGAGCAGAGCAGAGCGTGGAGCAAAGCAGCGACCACCCGTTGTTGCTGCTGCCTTTCACAAATTCCAACGGACTCGACATCTCGATATACCGAACTCATTCGTGCACGCGCAGCCGTACACAGATGCACACACACATACGTCGATGGTTGTGCAGAGCGCAGGGCACGCACTACGTATATAGGTACACTCACACACCCACAAAGTAGCAACACACATCGAGCGCGTATATATGTGTGCTGCCGAGAGAAAGACGGCGTTCGAACCCATATGCGCGCATCTGCTCCTGACTATCCAATAAACACAGTGCCTACAACTGCCGCACACACAGAGCGACTCTCTCGCGCGCGAACATACACGCGGCACTTTTGGCGTTGCTTTTTTTTTCGTTCTATTTTCATTTATCTAGAGAGTCGCGTCGACGATCGGATCCGAATCCTTGAGCTCGCGACAAGCGCCAATATTGGTAAACAAAATGCTGTCGCTTGCACACTGAGTATTGTATACCACGAATCGAGCGTAATTTCGCTCGGTTGCATGCGGCAGCTGCAGGCGGCTGTTGCTCCTTTTTGTTTTTTTTTTTTTTTTTGCTGCCTCGCATCGTGGCGGCGTCGTAGTGCCCCTAACCTACGCGTAGCGCGGCGGCCAAAATAGCTGCACGGAGATCGGCGTTAGCTGCTGCCTGGTAGCCCCTTGTTTACGGAGTGCACACAGTATCGCATAGAGGATAATAATACAAACTCGCGCGCACGAATATAACAGAAAGAGATAAGTTTGTTGTTCACACGCGACTATCGAATTCTGCTTGTGGTGGTGTCTTTAGTGTAAATGGTAAGAGACGATGATGCGGTGAAGATGGCGAGGAAGATGCGATGCCTACCTGTTGAAACCTAATCAAATCCGAAGAGCTCGCGCTAGCTAGCGGCGTCTCTCGCGTGAAAAAACACGTCGTCGAATGCGGGGCCTCGAGCCACTTCTTTGGCTAGGCCACTGTTGCCGCTGCGATACTCCGCACACTGCACACTGACAACTTACGCACACGCACCACGAATAGACGATAAAAAAAAAAAAAAAGATCGAGGATGATCTCTCACGGACACTGTTGCTCAACGACTGACTCTATGTGCAGGCTTGTCTGCTCGGCTCGGAGTCGCGCTTTTCATCGGACGGCGGAAACCCGTCGCGGAGCCTCGAGAAGGGGACTCACAACTCGGAGCGGGGGAAAGTGGGGGGAGGGGGAGAGACAGCGAGCAAGAGCGAGTGAGAAAAGGAAAGAGAATAAATATAGAAAAGGAGACAGGCAGCTGAAAGGCCTGCGAGAGCGAGAGAGAGAGAGAGAGAGACTATACGGTTAAAAGGGGCACTTTGGTATTATCTAAGCGAGTGCTGCCACACGGGCCCCGAAGAAATGCTACGGCTATGGCTGGCCTAACTCCTGTTGCTCGCTCTGCAGCGAGGCTATGTGCCTGCCGAGGTCCGCCTTCCCCTACTCGCTTGCCCCTACTTGGCTTGCATGTGTGTGTGCATATCTGGAGTCGTGCACATGTGTGCGAGTGCGTACGTACGAAGCTGCTGCTGTTGCGCTGTCACGAGCGCAAGGCCCCACTTTTTGCCTACTACTATACTGGCAGCAGCTCCGTACTACATATACACTGGCGTATCGAGCTACTACATATCTCTCCGCGTGCCGTACACACTACACACTATATAATATGCCGTGTGTGCGTCTATATACGCGAGACAGGAGTACGTGGATATTATACCTATCTCGCGATACGTAGCTGCTAGATAATATAATACCCGAGTGTATACGAGGCTGCACACACACGCAGACAGACTCGCGATCGAGTGTACGTACAACCGCGCCTTTGCTTTCTGTACACGAGGTATTTTGTGCAGTATAGCACGTATGATCGAGGACTCGCGAGCCGCATAGCAGCTGCACAGGAGCTCGCGGCTGCTGCTGCAATTTCCCCGTCTCTCTCTGCTTATCCCGTGGCTATATAGGTACGGGACTCGAGCAGCGATTTCTGCACTCGAGTCTCGGCCTTTCGCTCGACAGCAGCGACGGTCGTGTGATTCGCGTTCGCGACCATGGTATATTATATAGGGGCACGAGATGCAGTCTGCGGCTTTTCTCGAGCGCTCCTGGCTTTTTCGGCTCGCGCGGAAGCCGCTACCGCCGTTTATACGCGTGGGTCCTTTTCCCCACGCGGAAAATCGTTGCAGCTGGCTTCGACTGTATCAATAGTAGGCACGACTGAGAGTCATCTCATCGGGGATTCGAGCTTTCTTGATTGCTTCATATAATTTGTTTGATTTGATTGAAGTCATCGATCGTACACATATCTAAAATTAGATAAGCATTTTAAATACCTTGGGCATTGTCGTCATCGAGTCATGAGAAAGCTACGGCTATCTGTAAACTGTATACACATCGCGAGCGATCCTCTGACGTAATTTCTCCTAACGATTTCTATATCAGCTTTGCAGCTTCTCTTGTTCGGCAAGAGATCGGATGCACCGACGCATCAATCTTTTTATTAATTTGTTATCGCTGGTTTTCGGGGCGCGAACAACGATCAGTAGCAATATTCTTTTTCCTCGTTAACGTCACTGCTCGAGTCGATCGATTGTTGCGGTTTTCTGCGTATGATGTCCACATGTCAACATTAAGATCGTGTAGACGCGTAGCCAAGTGCAATTTGTATTTGCGCGCACTGCTTTGTTCCCGATAGCTCACGTGGATCTCGTTATATTGGGACATTAAGTGAGTGCAATTGTTATTGCTGCTGCTAGCCATAACGCTGGCAACGATCGGTATACGATAAAAAGTACTCAAAAGAGTACAGAGAGAGGCAAGTTGTTAGCGATAACAGCGGTTGACGAGTCAGCGACTCGTTGCACGCGATCTGCCGCATATATATGAATTAGCGCGGTAAAAAGTAACAAAACTGCGACCATACGATCACGCAAACTTCAGCGATTGCACCGCCAACTTATCCATGTTCGAGTAAAAAGGAGGGCGTCGAGGCTCTTTTTCGAAATTCGCGCCTTAGTTGTCGAATGGGTTATCCGCTTGGCTTCGGTGACTGCTGCGCTACGCCCTGCTGCAACAGCACAACAATAATAAAATCGTTTCGCGCTCCTTCGCGTGCGTTAATTTTCTTCGGCCCGTACGCCTGCAGCAGCGAACACATGCCGATACGACATAAAGCGCGCCTACATAATAATGCACGAGGCTCGCTCGTGTGCGCGCACCAACGAGACTCGTAAACATTATATTATGTAAGCTTTAGAACGCGGCGCGCGCCTGACCCAGATTGAAACTTACGCCGCGAGATTTGTCCCCATGATCAATTAATTCTCTCTTTTTCTGACGCACTCTCGCGATTCGTGTATAGCACGAAGCACAGCAGCCACTGCGCGCCTCGACTCTTATTATTTTTCTCCTGGATGACTACCGTTGTTTTAATTCTAACGCACCGCGCGAACGAGCGCGATCGTGTGCTATTTACACGCTAGTTGTAATTTCACGTTTATGATCATTCAGGCTCCGAAGCTAATCACTATCATATTCTTTCCAAAAGTTCTATATTTTTATAAATGTATTTATAAATTATTATGTACTAATTATATTTTTTGCCCGACACCGATAAGATAGAGGGATTCGTTATCGGGGTTGACTAAGCGCCGCTTCGATGAAACTGTCCCTCCGTTGACCCGCCTAACAACGATGAACGAATCCAAAACTGGAAATTTATGTTGATTCATTACCTCATTAAGTTTATTTTCTAATTACCTCCATAATTCTCCCATTACTCACTATCGTTAGCAATGATGTTTTCTTCATTTTTCGATTACACTCGATGATTATTATCAACCGAGAATCAAATACATATAAAAAGCTTTTAGTTTGAGTATTTAATTTGACTTGGCTTTGCATAATTTGATTTTTCTCGAGCCGTGTGCCCAAACGTTCTTCAATTACTTCGTGTGTACTTTGTTCGGATGTAAAGTCCCAATCCGCAATGTATATCGGTACATTGGCAGCTCATTAACCAAAGCGTCTTCGCGTATAGAGTTCAGCGAGCTCACATGATATATCGGTCTCTCGCGTCTGTCAGACTCGCTCCGCTCGCCAAGTGATAGATGCTTATAACACGCGAGCCAAGTGAAAAAGTTTCGGAGCAAAAAAAGAAGCGAGGGAAAAACATGGCTCGAAGCTCGTCTCATTTGCAAGACAGGGAGCTCTACGGCCCTGAAGGCAAAGATGCACCGTACACCCATTCGTTACATTTGATAAACAATTGTCTCCAAAGCACACGCACACACACAATATGCGTGCTCGTAATGGCTTTTCGAACAATGAACAGACGTTTGTTGTGCAAGTCGTAAACTTATTTACACGTTCTGGCATTTGCAGGTTTACTCGCGCGTACAAATCCGTAAATTCACTTTTTTCTCCTGCAATTATCAGCGCCATTATTTTTTCATTTTCAAGTACAACATCAGCTTTTACTACTTGTAAATTAGCTTTTTCAATGGGCGTAGTGGTGCTGACACAAAAAAAAGAAAATAAAGAGTTGCTAACGTCCGAATATAGTCTTCTCCCTTCGTTTTTCGAAATTCCATATTCAGCATTTGCTCAGCTCACGTTGTTCTTCGAAATTCAATTGTTTTTTGACGTATTTTAGTTTAGCCGTATGATTTGCGTTTGGAATAATGAAATGCGAGATGCTGAGACTCGGATGAAATTGTTTACAGAATAATCATACTTCGCGACCTATAAAATAGTTATTCGAGCATCGATATTAAGTTCAATAGAAGAACTGTTTGTAGTGCATTTGCCGTAGGAGCTTTTGGCTCTCTCTTTCTCATTGTTACCTTGTGGAAAAGTTTAAGTCGTGGCTCGCAGCTACTGATAGGAGTGCGCAAGTAGGTATACAACTAGCAGCTAGTGTAAAAAGGCAGTAACTGCATCGGCAGCAGCTTTTACGCTCCTTTATGTCTATCGACAGAGCTATAATAAATACACGCACGCGAGTCGACGGTACACGAATAGTCGTGTGTCGGGGCACAAAGTTGATCGTTTGCTCGGAGAACTTGTACATGTGTATTATATATGTATAGCTGAGAGCTCGCGAGTTCTCGCATGCCGAGTAGGGGGAGTATGTGAGCCGCAGTGAGAATATACATTCTACGTGTGTGTGTGTGTATGCGTATAGTCTTGGAGGAGCCAAGGTTTTCAGCTCGGTGAATATAGCCGGGGAACCTGTTCCATGCGGCGCACAGCCACCGCTAAGACGACGACGACGACTATACACGACTCATATCGTCTTTCTTCTTTCGAGCTCTCTCTCTTTCTCTAAGAGTTCTTGCACGCACGCATATACATACACACATACACACACACGCACACGAGCAAAGCCAGTATACGTAAGAAAGCCACGACCGGGATACTATACACCGCTCGGAGGATCTGCCTTTTTGGGCAGTTTGAAAATGTATGTATACCGAAGGTGCAAAAGCCATTCGATTGAATTATGAAGATTGGGCCGATCGATGCTGTATCGAGCATCGTATAACTCGCCACGCACGTCCTGCGATACTCGCGCGCTCGAGTAGCGGTAAACACCGTGACAATGTGCTACTTACGCGAGACCGCAAGTTCAAAAAACCGAAAATTGTCTGTCGCGATCGCTCGTGGAGGAGGAGGAGATGGGCTGCTGCCGCGATGACGCCGCAAAAGTCACGTAGCCGCGCGCGAGAGACCGGTCCCGATCACCGATTCCAGTTCGTTCGCACATTGTCTCGTTCCCCCCCTCATCGAATAATTAGCCACGAGCCGCAGATGTTGTTTCTAGCATTTCGTATATTAATCTCTCTATCTTGGTAAATCTCTCGTGGCTCCTTCGGAATTGCTACTGCGACTGGCTTATAGTCTCAACAGCTGCCAACATCGACCGACATCATCCCCGAGGATTTTTTGTTCATGATTGCTTTTTGCAGCGTCTATATACAGCTCGGCAATGAGTTCTCTTGCTCGCTCTCTCTCTTTCTCTCACAAATCGCCGAGCAGTTGCTACTCTCTTGACGCGGCAGGCCTTTAAGTCAATTTGGCTTTTACCTT